TGCTGTTCAAATTTTGTTGGTGAAACTGATTGTAAGAGACTGAAGATGTTTGGGAAAACAACGTTCCAGTGGTCTGCTGTTGGGCACTAGGCTGAAGATTTTGGGTTGCAGCATAAAAACTTCTGTGAGAGTCTCTCTGAGGTGTTCCCACTTGAGGAGACTGAGGATGATGAGGTCTGTATGGTGATCCTAATTGTTGTGAATGAGGCTTTGGTGACAGATAGCCATGCTGTACAGGGGTGAGAGGGGCAGATGACTTTGGAGGATTTTCTACATGAGGTGAAGTGGGGCAAGGTAGCTTCAGTGGAGCAGAAGGCAGCTTCTGTGAGAGCTGATCAGCTGTGGTGCGCAGGTGGGGTTGGGACTGATGGGTTTTTGAAAGTGCTTCAGCATTATTGGAAAGCGTTTTCTGTTGCTGGTCTGGTTTGGGGTGAGTTGTGTTCTCTGCCCCTGGAGTGTCTCCTGCACTCTCCCACTGGGAATCCTGTTTTGTGGGTGTTTTTCCAAGTGATTGAACAGGAACTACAGGATTTGGTGAAGAGGTCTACATCAAGAGAAAGAAGTATAAGTGCCTGTCTATGGTCTAAATCACATTCATTCTGGCTAAAAATATTGTTCTGTGTAGGCTCATAAACGAGGACCACAAAGAACAGCATTTCTTCACACAAGATGCATTGACTTGTCTGAAAACAGTTGTATCATTTTTAAAATTTCCAGCACCATGAAATGGCAGAAACAATATTCCTGTTCTGTGAGATACCCTGTTGTGTGATTTGATAAAAATAATCAAAACTTCTGGAGGAAGTCATAGCATTACTTGCATTTTAAGACATCATTTATCATTTGTCAACTTTTTCAAGTAAGAACTAGCTGCAGCCCAAGACGTCACGCATCTTGTTTTGCAGCAGAGAAACTACCAAGCATCAAGGCACATTTATATTAATGTATCTACCTTATTCCTTAAAAAGCAAATCAATTAAGGCAATATTTAACAGGTATAACAGACCTGTTTCAATACCTGGCATTACTAGAATAATGGCTTCAGTCTCATTTCAAAAACTAAACACATTTTGAAATCTTATTTGAAAGCAAAGTAGCTAGATTCTGCTGTATTTCAAATAATGCACAACCTTGTGCTGGTAAGAACTCTCTATCCAGCCTTGAAACAATCCTGTACAATTACTTAGTACTGTTGTTCCTCCTTTAGATATGCTAATTTGTATAGGCAGAATCACCACGTGTAAACTTTCTATTTGATGAAAAATTTCTGCAGTTCGAAAATGTACAGAATTATAACCTCAAATTTGACTTTGG